AAAAAATCAGTAGCCCTCCTATATACAATGGACAAAGAAGCTGAGAAGGAAATCAGAGATACATCACCCTTTACAATAGCCATAAATGACATAAAATACCTTAGGGTAACACTAACCAAGCAAGTGAAGGACCTACATGACAAGAACTGTTTGTCTTTTGGTGGTAGTTTGTGTGTGTATTTCCCTTATTTGGGATTTACTACTTTGGGGTCATCTATTGCCTGTGTTTTTGTGGGTGCTTCTGACTTCCTTAAGTTGGAGTTTTCCTTGTAATGCTTTCTTTAGGGCCAGATTTGTGGATAGGTATTGTTTAAATCTGGTTTTGTCTTAGAATGTCTTTTTTACTCCATCTATGGTGATCAAAAGTTTTGCTAGGTATAGTAGTCTGTGCTGGCATCCATGGTTTCTGTCCAGGACATTCTGGCTTTCAGAGTCTCCATTGAGAAGTCAGGTGTTATTCTGATGGGTCTGCTTTTATAAGTCACTTGGCCTTTTTACTTTGCTGCTCTTAATATTCTTCCTTTATTCTGTATGTTTAGTGGTTTAATTATTATGTGGTGAAGGTTTTAGTCTATTTGGTGTTCCATAAGCTTCTTGTGTTTTCATAGGTATTTCCTTCTTTAAGTTGGGAAAGTTTTCTTCCATGATTTTGTTGAATACATTTTCTGTGCCTTTGAGTTGGTATTCTTCTCCTTCTTCTATCACTATTATTAGGCATATTATTAGGTTTGGCCTTTTCATGGAGTGCCAGATTTCTTGGATGTTTTGTGTTATGACGTTTTTGGATTTGGTGTTTGCTTTGACTGACAAATTTATTTTCTGTATTATATCCTCTATGCCAGAGATTCTCTCTTCCATCTCTTCTATTCTGTTGGTTATGCTTGCATCTATAGTTCCTGCTTGTTTACTCAGATTTTCTATTTCCAACATTCCCTCAGTTTGTGTCTTCTTCATTTTTTTATTTCAATTTACAGGTCTTTAACTGTTTCCTTTACCTTTTTAATTGCTTTCTTATGATTTTCTTGGCCTTCCTTAAGGGATATATTGATTTCTTCTAATTTTTTGTTTCTCCTTTCCTCAATTTCTTAAAGAGAATTTTTTATTTCCTCTTTAAAGGCCTCTATCATCTTCATAATGTTAATTTCAAGGTTGCTTTTCCTGCTTCTACATTGTGATGTTCAGGTCTTGCTCTTGTAGAACTGCTAGGATCTGGTGATGCCATATTGCTCTTTATTCTGTTGTATGTATTTTAGCACTGGCCTCTACCCATCTCTCCCTCCAATAGGTGCAAGAGGTGTCAGTGTCTGAGTGAACTGCTCTTAGTCCAATCTGTGCTCTCTGTGTCTATGTCTCATGGGGACACTCTGGGTCCAATGTTAGTTCTTGGTGTAATTGGAGCTGGTGGATTCTGTGTCTAAGGGATCTGCTCTTGGTCCAATG